GAGGGAAGGAGGGAGGGAGGGAGGACGACTTTAAAGGATGAAGATCCCTGGTGCATGATGTATTCGAGCTCTTGAGTTGATTTTTGACTCATGTTCCTTGAAGGATAAAAAAACTATCTCATGAGGAAGAGAAGGAAAAATCCCCTCCACACATATCACCTTCCAAACCTCCCTCCCTCCCTCCTTTCCTCCCTCCCTCCCTCCCTCCTTTCCTCCCTCCCTCCCTCCCTCCCTCCCTCCCTCCCTCCCTCCTTTTCTGCCTCTCTCTTCCTTCCCGTCTCTTGCCCCCTGCCTTGCCTCCCTCACGTCACTCTACTAGGTAGAGGCATCTTGTGGCCCTTGCATTGTCCGTTGGTTTCCCCGTCGAGTCGTTCCGGAAGGGACTCTTGCCCACGAAGTAGAATCGCATGTTCCCGTTCCTCCACTGCACCTGCACTGACATCATCTCCTCATCCTCTTCTTCGTATACATGTCAAACAACTTCATCGAACAACTCGAGGTATCTTCATCTCCAACAACATCGTTATCACAGCTACGACCACTAAATGTTGTGAGATGCCCTTTGCGATATCCTCCATCTCTATCCTCTTCCTCTTCTACGAGATGTTCTGAATACTCCTCATCATGAGCATATCGGTGATTATCACAAATACCTCGACTTTCAACTCTAGCAACATCATCGTTGCCTTCAAAACCACTCTCCTTCTCTTCTCCTTCTGCTTTTCTCTCGCCTTCTGATCCTCCTCCTCCTCCTCCTCCTCCTCAGATTCTTCATCCCTAAACTGCACCAACTCTTTCTCGTCATCTCTGATCTTGTCATCATTATCGAATAATCGTCTCCATCCCAACAATCCCAACAGTCTCATCTCGACGTACTTGAGCAAAGTCTCCGCAGACGTCGATAACCTTCCCTGTTTGTCCTCCGCTCAGATAGTCTCCATGGAAACTTCCTTTCTCGTAGTTTCCACCCGAGAGATGTCGGACAACCTTGCAACAATCATCATTCACCCACTCCTCCTCCTCCTCCACCTCCGCCTCCTTCTCCCAACTGGTCCTGGTCGGAGTAACAC